AGAGAGAGAGAGAGAGAGAGAGAGAGAGAGAATGGATGGTTATATACTGTATGTTGAAGAGTGAGGCCTACAAGTACTGTAAACCTAATAAATATTGAGTTAATTACGCTTATCTATAAGTTTCTCTCTACGCAAAGTCTTATTTGGATAATGTATTTGATTTTGTATTACTTTGTACGTTTTTGTAGAATAAGTTGACGTATAACAACACATCGGTCTATACAGGTTAACTAATTGTATTTCATTTATACATTTACAGTACTTTATATAATGGTAGTAAATGCTAACATAAAAACAAAAATTATAAATGTACTTTTTGATCATATTTGATCAAATAAAATAAAAATTATGATCACGTTATTAGCAATGGATGTGTAATGCGATTGAATGCACTCGACATACGATTTCTGTATCCGTGAACAATATTGTCGACAATATTTTGATTTAAAATCTCCCAAAAATACACGATTCTGTCCAAGAATTTACGGTTCGGTTCTCGGCGACTATTGCTATATTCCTATCGACCGATTCTGTTGCCTATCATCTCTCAGCTCTTCCGTAATCTTTGCACTTCTATTGAATGTCTTTTATGTTTGTATTTGAGTTTTTGAGTCAATATTTTTAGAGATTTCATTAAAATACTAGTTTTGAAAAGAGCTGAAAGAGCGACTATTTTTTAATACCCGAAACCAATAAATATTTTGTTCATTCAATAATATGTTCATTTATAGAGCTATGAAAATGAAAGCTTTTTTCATTACTATTTTTGGTATCAATTGTGTGAACACTTTGTAACGAAATACTCTTTAAAAATATATATTACTTTTATTTGGACATAACTTTTGGCGTAATATCACTTTATATTTTTATTTGTGTTTCAATCCGATTTAGTTGTAGATATGTTTTTTTCAGTTGTTATCGAAATTCATTGAATTAAACAAAATTGTTAAGCTATATCATGTACTGTACATATTGTATATTATAATTTATACATATAATTACTTTACATTCAATAAATACTGTAGTTCAATTAAAAAATTAATTGAATTTTAAAAAGTAATTCTACAAATCAAACAATATGAAAATTATTATAAATACATTAAAACTTCTTTTATTAATTTTAAATTTAAAAACAATTACTTAATTAAGTTTAAAAATTAGAACATTTAATATTCACAATAAAATATTTTCATTTAAATACATTAAAATATTAAGACATCATAAATAGACAGCAATTTTTAAAAGCAATTTGTTAGCTATTTATTGGGAAAATTTTATATCTAATGATAGAAGTGTTTTATGTGTTAAAAACAATTATGGTCATACTTAACAGCAGTTTAAATAAATTATAAGGAAAATTTATATTAAATAGTTTTGTACTGTACATCAATACAAATATATATATATTTATATCTATAAATTACATTTATATTATATATATATTTAAATATTTATTTTATTTATACATTAAAATGTCTAGAAGTAGTAATATTTATATTTAAAACAGAAGTTTTAAATTAAAATTTATACACCATTTATATGACAAATATTATCAAAATATTTCGGGGTTTTTCAAAAATACACTTTTAATCCAATACGATATTCAGAGATATTTTTCAAATATAATACTCGTTCAAAATACTTATCGTAAAATTCATGTCAACGCCAAGACATTACAAGTGCTGTCCATAAAAATTCATTTCATTTCATCAAATGCTTTGACAATAAAAATAAAAAGCAAAACAACACAAAAAAAAACAATAATGACATTTATTTAATATATAAGTTATAAATAAAAATGAAAATCAATTTGTATGTTGTGGTTGTCATTCACGGCATATCTTGGGTATTCATACAATCATCAGTCGATACGCGACACTCGTGTCATTATTTTTGCCTTTGAGTTTCCGTTGAGTTTTTTGGTGTCACTGTTTCGGATGTGACCGCGGATTGAGTTCATGTTTATGAGACTGTGTCCGGAGTTTGTATTCTTGGTGCTCATGGCGTACACCGATGTCCGGTACGAGTGTAGGGAATCACTACTCCTGATGGTTGTGCCCCTCCGTTGGCCGCCTCTCATCATTGGGCAACACTTTGAGACCAATATCTTGAGATCTGTCTTCAAAATTTAGTTTATGGTTAGAATACGAGTTAAACTCGACTGAAGTTTACCCACAATTATATACACGATAGAGAAAAAGACAGAAAAAAGAGAGAATTGGTTTTATTCTTACAAATTTATAAAACATTTTAAACATGCATTTAATCTACAAAACTATTTGTATGTATTCTGTGAATACAATTATCAATTGCTATAAGGGTTTTGTTTTATCTACAGAAAACATATAATTTAATTAAATGTTTGGGGAATATATCATTTTATTGATAGGAAAATCTAATTTATATATAAGAATAAATGCTATAAATAATACTTACTCTGAAGTTTTCGCTCATAAAGCAGTAGATAATTGGATTTACTGTAAAAGGAAATTAATTTGTTAATGAAATTAGTTTTAGACTAAAGTATATTATAAAATAATTTATTTAATAAAATTTTTATTTATTTAAAATTATTTTTAACTAAATAGTGCGATAACTAACTGCCATAAATTATTTAATTATACTGTATAAATTTAGTAGTTCATACATTTATATTTTTAATAATTGTTTTAAAATGGTAAATCTAATTTTAGTTGATTTGATTTGCAAATATTATGGTTTAGATAAACATGAAATATATTTTAAATTAAAAATAATTAATAGACGCAGAATATAATTATGTGATAATTAGAGTCTCTATTTTTCGGGAACTCCCGAATAAATTTAGTGTATAATAACATCGGGAATTACATACCGTTAGGCATATGGGCTAAAATAGGACCAATATATATAGTTTTATATTCCCGATTTTTCCC